GCGTTCTACACGCAAATTAAAATCTTGACTTTGCAAGATCGCCCTTTTGCATGCGTGAAGGTGGTCCACTGATTAGTAAAGCCCGCAATTCCACGCGAATAAATGTGAATAGTCCATAAATAGGATTTTCTTTTTCGCTGTTGTCATTAACAGCATAAGTGGTAAAAGAGGAGTACCATAAATACCTAGAGGTGAGACTAGCCAAGTACAAAGAACGAAGAAAACCTGAAGAGTAGTTTTTTTTCCTGCTGTTTTTTAGATTGATAGCTGGCGTGATCGATCACAAAACCAACATCACAATTTTCATTTTACGTTCCAGCACAGCAGTTTAGAGGGATGTTTTCCTTTGAAATTGCCCGAAGGATGGATGTTTTCGAAGTTAAAAGTAATTGATAACGCAAACAGATTACTAAACTTGGCGCAGAAGTTTTACAAAGAAGGCCTCATGCCACTATGTTTGTTTTGATTTTTGGAAACTTTAAACCTGGCATGCTATCTTGCAAACCCTTGCGTGATCATGTGATGCCTTGCACTGAAGTGCTTGCTAGAGCCCAGGTGACTCACGGAAATATTACTGTTTTGAGCCACCTTAAATTGTGAATTGCTGGAGAACTATTTAACAATTAGATAATGAGTGCAAGGCACTATCTATTCTGTTGTAGATAGTGGGTTGCCCAGCAGTGTGTGCTTGCTAACAAACTGGTGGCTGCTTCTTTGTGTTTTCGAAGTGTCTGTGAAGAAGATTTAGATACAGTTTTGAATGACTAGTAGATTTATGTTAATAATAAGATTACACTGTATTTGCTATTTGTCACTATGTGCACGATAGTTCACAGCCCAAGTCAATGACTTGGGCTGTGCCCTAATGTCAACTATCATGTGATAGAAATCTCGAGCCCATAATCAAATTGTCAAGTAGAAAGTGGGAGAGTATCATTAAATTCAATATTAAAATACTCTTTGACTTGTGACATTAAGCAATCCCAGAGTCATAGGGTTAAACTGAAGATCTGATATAATAAATATAATGGTGTAAATTAAACTTGTAGTTCTTTGCTGTATAAGGACTGTCTAACTCTTTAGTTACCAAAATCAGGATCAGCTTTCATCATCTTGGAAAGTGAGCCCTCAATCCCACCCACAGTAGGTTCATCATACCATCCTGTGTACTGAAGAAAATGATTGTATGCATAATCAGCAAAGAAAAGTATCTATGAAAACAATAAGCCAGCTCATTAAAAACCCAGCTGGCTTTTCAGGCCTTCACAGCTCCTATGGCATTATACAGCTCCAAGGTTTGCCCATTGCAAGTCTTTGCTTCAATCAAGTGAAATTTCAGCCTCATTCAAGCTCTCTTCCAGCCAGCCCTTAGTGACATCCCTGTGTAAAGATCTCTCAAGCGTGCTTACAGTATCATCAACCTACAGAGACGTCTATAACTTATCACACTCATCACATAAAAGCCAAAAACTGGATCATGCATATATGCATTACTGGTATGTAAGGGAGGCAGGGCTACCTAGATATTAGTGCAAGTGCTAGACTCTGTATGAAGCCCTGGATTTGAGCCCTTGCTGGGCGATGGGGTCTCTGTGTGGTGTTCTTGGGCAATCTGACACATCACTCTCACAGTACATGTACCTTTATCTCCACCCAGGTGTACAGTACACATATAAACTAACCTGTGTTAAAGTAGCATCATACATTTTTGCTGCCTCATTGCTAGTCGTTGACAGTGGCAACCCTTCACTTCTCCAAGCCTTAAATTAATTGAATAAAATATAAATGCTAATAACCTGTTACTAACTGAGCTCTAGAGCCATATTGGGGAATATTGGCCTGAGGCTGTGGCAGTATGGAGCAAGCAGAGCGAAGTTTGTACAAAAATAATTGAGTGGTGATTTTTCCTAGTAAAATTGAAGCAAGTTAAGTTATTACGTTGTGTAATATATGGCACTCCATGGAAGTTGTTAACTTTGAAATTGACAGCTTTCAAAAACACAAAAAGACATGGCTTCTGACCATTTCCAGGGAAACAGTCTATATAAATACTAATTACTACATAATAATTATGGCAAAATCCTGACCATGAAAGAACCAATCAGAATGCCCAGTTTAACCTCAAGACTACATGTACCTTGCCATAAAATAATGATTCCTATTGATTGCTTTAATAATGATGGGATATACATTCTTGTACATTAATTAACTCCTCAAATTATTCAATATAATATGCACAACCTTAATCTTTAGCTTTCCATTCAAGGTATCGGCAAAAATCACCACCACCTAAGGTTAACTACTATTTTTTAGGCAATAATTTGAGAGGAATGGCTCCCTTAAAGGAACTTTGGTCAACCATTGGCCAACAAGTAACCAACAGATTACTGAATTTGACTATAAAACTCAAGATACTGGCAAAAAATGTACATGTAAATGGAATATTGCCCTATAGTGTACTCCATTCTGCCAGCAAGGAAAACTTGGAAATCTCTAAAACCTTTTTTGTACATGAATGATTGAACCACAGTGAGTGTTACTGTACATATCTGACCATAAGTGGTATATACTTCACACATACAGTACAGTACAAATTAATTAAATTGTTTACAAGTACTGTACTCCATTTTGTGATAATCAATTCCATATACCTGACAAGTATTTTCTACATGTATCCATAGTTAATAGAGAGGAATGGTTATGAAGCCCAGCAAACATCAAAGGAGCAAACAAAGATGCCAAGATTTATGTTGAAAGGTCCACGACTGTGCACAATCTTTTGTTTTGTGTTCATACACTATGCAAGAGTTATGTAACCAAAATGTTTCTATTGGTTAGTTCCTCTGTCACTATAAGTAAACAGCATGGTGTTTTGTGCACGGTCAAGGCCAAAAAAGAGAACAAAAACATACAACAGAGAACTTTGTCGAGTTTCATAACCATTCCCCTCCTACAAAACTATAATGTGTCATTCTTCCGTAGGTGAGTTTAATGAATGTAAGTGCAGAATACATGTAGGTTAATGCAGATAGGTTTAAACCATCACCCTTGTTTTATGGTACATGTAAGTATCAGTTAGGTATAGTCTGAGGGTGCCTGCTGCTTGACACTTGACACAGGCTTGCCTAAAATTGCCATGGATACCTCCAGAATAGGCCATTTTACAAATTATGGTATGCTCAATCAGTTACCTGGCCTATGAATGCAAGAAAGGCTGGAGTTGATCTTGCTTTGATGCAAACTTCTCTGCTTTTCTCATTTAAATGCTAACTAGTTAGCATGCGAACAACTTGATTTACAAAACAAAAGCAGTGAAGTCTGTATCAAAACAAGCCACTTTGACATTCAAAGGCTAGGTCAATGAGCATACAACTGTAAAATTAACAAATTGATGTCAGGTTTTCATGCGTCTATCCTGTTTTTGATCATGAATTTCGTCATAACATTGTCAAAGTAGCTGTGGATCCACAAGGTGATAGCCGAGTGGATCCGCAGACTACTTTGACAATGTTATGACTAAATTAAATTCATTGTCCATAACAGGAAAGACGCATTAAAAACTGGCGTCAGTTTGTCTTTTACGATAAAAATTTGTCAAATTGTCCGCCCTCGCTCGCTGACGCATCGCATAAATTATAAATTCATGTGTCTGTCCGCTTATTGACAATAAAATTAGCCAATGAGCGTGTGAGAATTTCTGCAGTTATCGTAAAATGGTATATTGCTTCCTATTGATTTTATCGAACGCTGATTTCGGTTTTATATAATCGAACGAACAAGCTTAATTGAACTGGAATTCACGCGTTGAAATTTGTTAAGGAGGTCTCGCCTCTAATCTAGAACCCTGAGGCGATAACGGAATCTCACTCGATGACAACCTACATGTACTTTCAAACAAATAAAAATTTTCGAGTTTCAAAACAACAACTAAAACAACTTAAACAACAACAAAGCCCTGCGTGGAAATGTGATGAAATTTAGTTAAGCTTAAGTAGCGTTACAGCTAATGTTAAAATCATAAGAGAGTGGTTTCCACAAGATTAACTTTAAGTTATGTGCAGAACACCAAGAGAGCGTGACCGGGGAACGTAAGACATTCTGGCAAATTTTGGGCAAGATGGCGCTCCTAAGCCTTCTACTGACATAAAATTGAACAAGGTAGGGCGTTATGAGACGATACTCACGTCGACATCTCTCCAATTGCTGTGCAAATAGGACATTTCAAGAGCTTTGCTGTCCCTCCGTCGCTCACCGTCACGAAACTCCGCGCAATCCCACGCAGTCTGGTTTGCAATCTGACGAGTCCACCCCACGGTCAGCGGTTGTCCATCCACTAACCC